AATAGAATAGGAAAGAGTAGAGTAGAGTAGAGTAGAGTAGAGTAGAGTAGAGTAGAGTAGAGTAGAGTAGAGTAGAGTAGAATGGAATGGAATAGAATAGGAAAGTTTAGAGTATAATAGAATAGGAAAGAGTAGAGTATAGTAGAATAGAACAGAAGATAATAGAGTAGAGTAGAGTAGAACAGAATAGAATAGAATAGGAAAGAGTAGAGTAGAGTAGAGTTGAATAGAACAGAAGATAATAGAGTAGAGCAGAGTAGAGTAGAATAGAATAGGAAAGAGTAGAATAGAGTAGAGTAGAATTGAATTGAATAGAATAGGAAAGTTTAGAGTAGAATAGAATAGGAAAGAGTAGAGTAGAGTAGAGTAGAATAGAACAGAAGATAATAGAGTAGAATAGAATAGAATAGAATAGAATAGAATAGAATAGGAAAGAGTAGAGTAGAATAGAACAGAAGATAATAGAGTAGAGTAGAATAGAATAGAATAGGATAGAGTAGAGTAGAATGGAATAGAATAGAATAGCAACAACTTGCTTCATTTAAAAACTTTTCTAAGTGTTTGTTTAGTATATAGAATTTATTGTTTATTTAATATATAGAATAGAAACAGAAATAGAATAAAATAGAATATAATAGGAAAGAATAGAATAGAATAGAATAGAATAGAATAGAATAGAATAGAATAGAATAGAATAGAATAGAATAGAATTCAGAGTTGGGACTTCCAGCCCGCAAGGCCATTAAACAATGATGATGATGTTTATATATATATAAACAAAATTTCTAACAAAACCACTTCTTCCTCTTAAATAATACAGATTACTCCTTTGTACTAGAGGAGTTGGGTGTGTGTGTGTGTTCAGCTGGTTCTCTTAGCTACCCCGATGACAATGGATGTATATTCTTGCCCTCCCCTCCTTTCCAAGTCCTTTAATTGGGCTGCTTTGATAATCTAAGCAATAGGACCCCTCCATGACGGTGCTGCTGAGTAGCCATGGTTTGGAAACAAGGATCTAGAAATCCCTCAATTACCAGTTGAACAACAGCCTGGGAAATCATTTGCCCTGTGAATACGTTCAAGACACCTCAGTAAAATATTGTGGAGGATAGTTGTGTTGAAATGGGTGGAACTGCTACGAGGCATACAGAAAGCAAGTTAGGGACTCAGCTAGAACTTGTGTCAAAATGGAAACCTCCCGCAGTGCCATGTGGACAAGTGACTACGAATGTCCATGAACAGAAAATCAGGAGCAAGAAATGTCCCCATGAAGAAAGAATACTTTACCCAGTCCATCAAGCCCAGCTGGTGGGACTGGCTTGCTGGCTAAGCCACCATCTTCTTCTAGACTCAATGCACGTTCCAGTACTGGGGTGCCCTTCTTCCCACCGGGACATCTGGAATGATCCACTATCTCAACGAGTCTCTCTGCCACACGAGAGATATCCAGGTCATCTAGGAAAGCAAAACAAAACAAGAGTGGAATATTATTCCATTCAACCCTCTCCCTTCACCTCGTGCATTATTCGGGAACATAAAATCCGCTGCAATCATCCAAAGGTCCATTTAGTCATTACGGCAGAAAAATGGACAGCAGCCATTTTGGAATCCAGTTTGGCTCTGTCACCAGAGTGTTTTGGAAGGAAAGGAGAACCACCCATTAAGATTATAGGTCGTCCTTGATTTATGACCGCAACTGGGAGCAAAAGTACCTTTCCTAAGCAGTTAAACGAGTCATGCCCAACTTGATGGCCTTGTTGAGTAGCACAAACGATGAGGATGAGACAAATTTTCCTCATGAGGAATAATGTAGTGAGTCACACGGCAGCTGACATGGAAACCTCCTAGCTTGTGCGTTGAGTCGCACGTACAATGAGGATCAGGACAAAATTTTCATATCAAAATGCACCGAGTACCAAGCAGGGGTGGGTTTCAGGCGGTTCGTGGCGGTCCCCGCGAACCGGTTGGTCGGCGAAGTAAGTAACTTCCGGGAACGCCGAAGGATCCACCCGCCCGCCCGCGTTTCTTACCCGGTTTTGACGAGTTCTGCACTTCCACGCCTGCGCAG